GTGGCTATTGATGAATGTGACGAATATATTTAAAAATGATTTTTAATATTTTTTCTTTGTATTTCGTTTTTTAGTGTAAATATCATTTTTTGAAAAACAAAGGAACCGCAGGTGGACCTAATAACGATAATAATATTAATAACTTTTTATTTATTTTATTTTTTTTTATTTTTTTGTATAATTTTCAATTGGAAAAAAAAGTGTATAAATTAAAAAAAACTATTATTTTATTAATCAGTTGTTTTATTATAGACTAACAAGTGTCCACGGTTTTATAGTTATTATTATAATTAAAAGATATAATTAAATTTTATTATAATTTTTTTTTACAATAATTTCATTGGTTTACACACAATTATTTTCAACCTATCATAATACCAAACTTTTTTTATAAATCAACAAAAGAAATAAAAAATGATGATGAAAGTATTATTGTTATTATCAATTGTTATCGCAATTGCCAATGGTTTTTCACTTTTTACTAAAAGTGATGAATTCCCATTAAATGTTAACAGTCGTTCCGGTGCTTATCAAGGTATTTACATTGATAATGCTCGTGCTTTCTTAGGTGTTCCATATGCTAAACCACCAACTGGTTCACTTCGTTTCAAACCACCACAAGATAAAGGTTTCCATTGGGGTATTTACAATGCTACTAAAAGTGCTCCATCATGTTTCCAATCTGGTGCTACTGCTGCCTCAAATTATAGTGAAGATTGCCTTTACTTAGATGTCTACACTCCAAAATATGTACAAAGAACTGAAGGTATTTTCGATCAATTACCAGTTATGGTTTTCATCCACGGTGGTAGATATTGGACCGGTAGTGCTTTAGACTTCCCAGCAGATAAAATGGCCGCTTTAGGTAACGCTGTTGTTGTTGTTATGCAATACAGATTAAATGTCTTTGGTTTCCAACCATTCGATTCAAATACTAATCTTGGTTTACTTGATCAACAATTAGCTTTGAAATGGGTTAAAGATAATGTCTTTGCTTTTGGTGGTGACTCTAACAAGTAATTATCATTTACTATATATTTAAAACTAATTTTAAAAGTGTTTAGTCATACTAATTTTTTTATTTTTTTTTAATTTTTAGAGTAACTATTTTTGGTGAATCAGCTGGTGGATCATCAGTTTTATATCACTTTATTACCCCATCATCATACAATTTATACGATCGTGTTATTGCTCATAGTGCTTGGCAATGGTATATCCCAACCGTTGAAACCTCACGTGTTAAAGCTGCCACCTGGGCTGCTACTAAAGGTTGTGCCAATACCACCTCAACTGGTGCACCAGATTACAACGCTATTGTTGAATGCCTTTCAACCAAAGATGCTCTTTCAATTACCGCCACCACTGCTCAATCAGATTTCTTTGTTCCAATGATCGATGGTAGACTTATTACCACTTTACCATTAAACTCATTCAAATTAAAACAATACAACCAAAAGGCTGAAATCATCATTGGTCACAACTATGATGAAGGTAACTATATGGCTTATTCACGTTTAGGTTACAAATCACCAAACCAAACTGTCACCGACACCACCTATTACAACTCTTTAAGAAAATACTTAAACGTTTACTTTAACCCAACTCAAGTTGAAGATATCGTCACTCTTTACGAACCAGTCAAAGCTCAATTAGGCAACTGGTACGCTGGTGCAGAATTCTTTGCTGATTACTATATTATTTGTGGTTCCATTTTAGCCGCTGAATACCTCAATGGTACCCAAACCAACTTTAGAACCTACATCTTTAACTATTCATCACCAAACTACCCAGCCAATGATTGGTTCTTAGCTGCTTCACATGGTAATGAATTAGCTTACGTCTTTTTCACCGATATCTATACTCCATTCGTTAAAACTCCAGAAGATAACTTATTGTCAGTTAGAATGAACAGAGCTTGGACCGATTTCGCCGATACTGCCAATCCAAAATCAATCTTATCCGAATGGCCAACCACCTACCCAAGTGCTATGTACTATGGTGACAATGCTAACATCTTTAATGAAGTTAGACCATACCTTAAAGATATTTGCTCTTCATGGAGACCATATCTCGAACAATATTAAACAAATATAAATAACCCTTTTTAAAAAAAATTTATAAAATTAAAATAAATTTTATCATATAAAAATAATCACGCATAAGTGTGTGTTTATAAAAATCAAATTTGAAACTATAATTTTTTTATTTTATTTTTTTTATTAAATCTATTGTTATATAATTTATTAAATATTTAAAGTCAATTTAAATTCGTTTTTTTTAAAAAATCAAAATTTTTTTTTTATTTTTTTGTTTTTTTCATTTTTTTTTTTTTCATTTTTTTTTTAAATTAAACGATCAAATAATATTACTTTTCATTATTTTTTATTTTAAATATTTATATTACTCTTTATAATAGATAATAATAGATAATAATAATGCTATTAAATAGTTATATTAGAAATTTTAAAAAGTTAAATATTCAAAATCAAAAGCAATGGTTTGGTTTAAGAAATTATTGTGCAACTACAAAGAATGAAAATGTTATCGACATTTTAAAAGCAAGAGGATTTATTCATCAAATGACAGAAACTGATGATGTAATGAGATCAATAACTGAAAAGAAGAAAATTACATTTTATACAGGTTTCGATCCAACAGCAGATAGTTTACATATTGGAAATTTATTGACATTGATGGTAATGTCACATTTAAAGAAGCATGGTCACAACCCAATAGCAATTGTAGGTGGAGCAACAGCATTAATTGGTGATCCAAGTGGTAAGTCAACAGATAGACCAGTTTTAAGTGAGGATTTTATAGAGAATAATTTAGTATACCTCAGAGAGAACATTAGAACCATTTTGGGCGAAGATACAACAATTCTCAACAATATAGATTGGAATAAAAACCTTAGCATCATCAATTTCCTTAGAGATATAGGCACATATTTTAGAGTTGGCACAATGATTAAAAAAGATTTCATTCAAAATAGATTAAACTCTGAAAACGACGATAGTGGCATCAGCTACACAGAGTTTACATATTCATTACTTCAAGCCAATGACTTTGCACATCTTTACCATAACAATAAATGCGAGTTACAAATCGGTGGTTCTGATCAATGGGGTAATATAGTTTCAGGTATCGATCTTATCAGAAAGAGATACAAGGGTCAAGGTATGGGTTTAACCATCCCATTACTCACCAATAGCGAGGGTCAAAAGCTTGGCAAAAGTGAAGGCAACTCCATCTGGTTATCACCCCACAAGACCTCTTCTTACATGTTCTACCAATATTGGATCCAAATAGCCGATGCTGATGTAGAGAAACTTCTAAAACTTTTCACATATCTCCCACTAAACGAAATATCAGAAATTGTATCACAACACAACCAAAACCCACACCTTAGAACAGCACAAAAGAAACTATCTGAAGAAGTCACCCGTTTAGTTCACGGTCAAAAAGGATTAGAGGAAGCATTATTAACCACCGAAATCCTTTTCGGTAAATACTCTGATGCTCTTTCAAATCTCGACGAAAATAACAATTGCATTATCGAAGGTAAAAGCGTTGGTGACCTCTTATCAAAAGCAAACTACATCTCTTTAAGCAAGTCTAAATACCTCAATCAAAAAATAGTTAACATTCTCTCTGAAGTATCGGGTATATCCTCAACACAAGCAAGAAAGCTATTCACAGATAAGGTTGTTTTCATGAACAGCAAATTAATCAATGACCCAAAAATAACCTTAGCTGAAAATCAATTAATTTCAAATCATTTCATTTTGTTAAAGTCTGGTAAAAAGAATTTCCATTTAATAAAATTCGAATAATAAATAAATAATAAAATAAAAATATAAAATAAAGAATATTCTTTTAAATAATAAAAAAAGATAATAATATTTATTTTTTTTCTTTTTTTGTGTATTATGCAATGGTGGTTGCATTTTAAATAATTATTAATTTTTTTTGTGGAGTAAAAATTATTTTAATAAAATCAATGATCATAGTCATTGTTTAAATTTTATATTAATGATCTTTTTCCTTTTTTAGAAATTTTTTGTTGTAAATTTCATTTTTTTTATTTAATTATTAAAATAAAATTATTATTTTTTTTTTTAATTTAAGATTTTTTTTTTTTATTACTGTACCATCAAATGTGTCATAGTTTCAAGTACACTAGTTTCAATAAATAAACTTAGTCAATCACTTTATATTATTTCAAATTTAATAACAATTTATTAATAGCGTTCTGAACATGGCACTAAGGTAGAACATTCATTTGTTTTATATAAATAAAATATTTAGTAGTGCCTATATTCAAGAACTTCAATTTTTAAAGAAAAGTATATGAAACAACTTGAAACAGGTGTGCAAATCTCAGCAACTCTTTGATGTCCAAATTAAAATTATGCCATCGGTGTTACTCTTTAATATAAAAATGAAATATAGAACACTATTACAGAAATTATATTATGGTTTTTCAAATCAAAGTTTAGAGATTATTCCAATTAACGTAAAATCTTTAAAATTATAGAAAAGATCATTAATAGTATTTAAATACCTTGACCAATTTCGTTCAATTTAAAAGCTATTATAACGAAGGCAACTGTATTTTATCTATAGGTAAAACATATTTTAACCATAAGGTTTCAACGAATGGATTTACCTCGCCCTCTAATCAAATCAAAATTTCAAATTCTAGGTTAATGCTCATTTTATTAAACAACTACAAGAACTTCATACATAAACGAAATGAAAAAAAAAAAAAAATAGAAAATAAAAAATTTATTTTAAAATTGGGTTTTTTTATTTATTAATATTAATTTTAATTTTTTGTAATAATAACAAAAATTTTTTAAAAATCATAACTTAAAAAATAAATAAAATAATGAGAAAAAAAAAAAAAAAAACAATAAATAATAATAATAAAAGAAACTTATTTTATTTTTTTTAAATCTTTTTTTATTTTTATTTTTAATTTTTTTTATTTAACCTTAAAAATTAGGTTAGCAGAAAAAAAATTTCCCTTTGTGTTAAAAAATGAATTTGAAAAGAAAAAAAATATTTAAAAAAAAATAATAAAAGGCAAAGAGGGGTTTTTTTTTTGATGGTGGGATTTTTTATTTTTAAGCCTGGAAATAAACCGTAATTTTTCGAAAAAAATATTCGTATATTTTTTTTAAAAAAACCTATTTTTTAAAGTTGGTTTTTAGAGTATTTAAACAAGATTAATTTTAATGCCGTTTTTTTATTTATTTTATTTTATAAATAACAAATAATTAATGACAACAAATATATATTATACAAAAAATAAATATATAGATTATAAAACAAATATAATAAATAAAATAAAATAAATTAAAATAAAAATAAAAAATGAATTTTTTATTAGTTTTTTTAGTTTTAGCAATTATAAATTATGTAAATAGTATTCAAGTAAAATTTGATACCTCAATTATAGACTCTTGCACAAAAGCTGCTCCATGTAATTTAGCTACTAAACAAGTATGGGTTGATGGTACAATTCCGACTGATGGTGATGATATCATTATCGATTTTTCAGGATTATTAAATGGCAATGGTCAAACTATATATTTAACTGCAGTTGGTTTAAATATGGAATTAGCATCATTTTATTTAAATGGTGGTGGTGCATCAAAAAATGGTTTTATTACAAATTTAGTTTTAGAAAATGCAAATTTAAATATTAATCAAAATGATAACAGTTGTTTCAATGTAACCCAAGCTACAGTCACTATTACAGATACCGATAAAGACGGTAAAAATACAATCCAAACCAATAATTTTATCGCCAACGAAGTAAATTTAGTTATCGATGGCTATGCTAATATTGTATCAGGTAATTTTTCACTTCAAAGCTCCTCTGGTGCACAAAGTTTTATTCAAGGCGCCTCCAGTATCAATGTAACAGATTTTGCTACACTCAATGCACCAGTTTACCATTATAGTTCCGGTCTCTTAGAGTTTTCATCTGTTGTAAATATATTTGATACATTTTACTCAAATGGTACAGTAAGCAGTCATAACATTACTATTGGCTCATATTCAAGTAATTACGAATATCTATCAGTATCATACAACACCTTGTTCCTTAATGCATTCTTAGTTATCACCGATAGTCGTAATAATGTTACTGTTCAAGATTTGGAATATATTGGTTCTCATCATGCTATATATATTGGTATCTTATCAATGTTAAATATTACTGGTGTAGTTAACGGTAATACCGTAATTGATGGATACTATATTGTTATTTTAGGTAAATTGTTGTTACCATCCGGTTATACAATTAGCAATATGAATGCACCAAAAATTTATGGTGATATTCTAATTCAAGATAGTTTAAAACCAACCATTATAAATTCTGTTTATGCTCCATCTGTTAGTATTTATGGTGGTAATGGAAATATTTCAATCAGTAACTCTAACCTATATGGTGTTTCAATGGATTCAAAAGGTAGTTTAGATATTTTAACCAATACAACCATCAAGGCTATCTCTTGCAACGGTTTTGTAACTATTCAAGACTCAGCAACATTAACATTGACCAATCGTGGATTCGTTTCTACTTTAAATATCTATGGTAGTTTAGAAAATAAATTTTATTTAATAGGGGACACTATCACTGTTTTCAAGACTGGTTCAATCCATTCATCCTACAGTATTTATGCTAATATTAATAGCTTTGGTACTATACAACTTGAAACTTCAGCAGGTTTCAATTCAATTTATGTTAATGTTGGCTCCTCACTAAATTTAGACTTTCCATATCAGTATTTTAATGGCTCTTTAACTTTTGCTCAATCAACAAGTTTAAAAGCATCATTTGTTGAGTATAACTCAAAGGTCCCAGTTATCAATGTAACAGAAAGTCTCATAATAGATTCAATCCCAATTAATATTGAGGTTTCATATATAACAACCACTCCTTCAAAAGGTGATAGAATATTTTTATTTAGAGCAGGTAATTCAACTGGTGTAAATATAAAAACAAGTGATATCACCCTTTCATTATATGATGGTGTTCCATTTGATTCAAAAATTTTATACAGTATTTCAAAAGATGATCAAGGATGTGTATATATCGAATTTTCTAAATCTTATAAAGTTGTAATTGCTGTAGTTTGTACTGTAGTCCCAATTGTTTTAATTGCTGGTATTGTTATTGCAGTTGTTCTTATAAAAAGAAAAAATAAGAATAACGAAAGAATTCCTTTACTTTAAAAATTATAATAAAAAATAATTACTTTTTTTTTCTATAATAAAAATGAAAAACTATCTATTTTATTTATTTTTAATTTTTAATTAATGAAAAAAAAATTGTATAGAAATAATTTTCAATTATTAGAATAAATGAAAATTATTCTCTTATTTTTATAATCTTTTAAAAACTATTAATATCTTTGTTCACTTAAAAGAGTATTTCAATTTTCAAAAATCATAAAGTGTAAAGATAAAAATAAAAAAATATCTTAAAGATTTAATTAAAAAATTGAAAAATTATTTATTTTTTTTTTATTTGGGGTTTATATTTTTATAAAACTGTTAATATTTATGAAAATTATTTTATAAAAATTTATTATAATATTAATTTAATTTGTTTTATGGAAATATCAAGGATGATTAGAAGGGAAAAAATAGAAAAAATAGAAATAATAGAAAATAAAATTAAAGGTAATTTAAAATATATAAAATTTAATTTTAATTAGAATATTCATTAAATGGAATTTATATCAGGTTTTAAATCATTTAGAGATGGGCTATTACCTTTATGTGGAACATCCGAGTTTATACCACAGGTAGGGTCAATAAATTTAAAAACTATAAAAAATAAAATAATTTTATACAATAACTAATAGTTTTTTTTTAAAGTCATGGTTTGTTGGGCCGAGTGGTGAAAATTCTGAAATATTAAATGAATTAGTTTTAATTGCGTTAAAACATACAATAGATGCTAGAAAAGAATTTAATACAAAGGATGATAATAAAATCATTGATGAAAATTTTAGAAATGGTGAAATTTATAAAAATGCCATTGATGAAATGAAAAAAAAAACAGAGTCAATATGTTGTTTTTTGAAGAAATCTGTTCCTTTTTCATCTTTGAGGTATCAAGGTCATATGAATTCAGATGTATTAATACCTGGTATAGTTGGTTTCATTTCTGCAATGATTTATAATCAAAATAATTGTTGCTATAAGGTAAGTTTAATATATTGTACATGTAAAATAGGTTTATTAATTTTTTTTTTGTAGGGTAGCCCAACTACATCCTATATTGAAAAAGCTGTAGTTAACGATTTGAACCGTATGGTGGGATTTCGCTTTGGTGATAAAATTGATATGTTACTTTCTAAAAAAGAGAGATTGAAAAAAGAAAAAAATCTAATAACACCTTTTGGACATATTGCATCTGGAGGAACAATTTCTAATTGTGAAGCATTATGGAGCTCATTTTGGGTTAAGTTTATACCATTGGCACTTAAAGAGGCAATAAAGAATGAGAGTATATTAAAAAATGCAGAGTTAGTTAATGTTTTATTACCAAATGGTTCAAAAAGGAAATTACTTACCTTGGACGCTTGGAGTACAGTTAATATTAGTTGTGATGAATGTGTAAGGCTGCCATATAAGGTTGCATACAAGTATAATGTTGATCATTCATTAGTTATGAGTCTTTTAAAGAAATACCATCCATCCGATATGGGTTTGGTTGATTTTTTTAACACACATGGTTTGAGATCTCCCGTGTTTTTAGCTCCAATTACATGCCACTATTCAATTCCTAAATCAATTGCCCTTCTTGGTTTAGGTTTTAAATCATTAATAACAATTGCTGTTGATAATAATACCAGGTAAATAAGCTATTGCTACTATTATTACTATTTTTAATGTATTAATATAATTTTTATTATTAAAGAATGGATTTAGATTGTTTAGAAAATACTTTGGAAACCTGTATTGCTAACAAAACACCTGTTATAAATGTTGTTCCTATACTAGGTACAACTGAAGAAAGTTCAGTTGATGATCTTGAAGGTATAGTTGGAATTAAAAAGAAAATGAATAACCTGTATAATTTTGATTTTTCTATTCACTGTGATGGAGCATTTGGTTGTTACTTTGCCTCTTGTATAAGAAAAGATTACCCAATTGATGACCCAGAAACAGATGTAATAAGCCCAAGCAACTGTCATCTCGATTACAAAGTAGAACCATATGATGATTTTAATAAACTTGACCCACAGAATTATTTAAGCGACTATTTGATCAGACAATTAAAAGCATTACCTTTAGTCGATACCATAGTTGCAGACCCACATAAAACAGGCTACATCCAGTATCCCGCTGGTGCTATTCTTTATAGAAATGGAAAGTTTAAAGATGTTCTTTCTTATAGGGGCTCTTATATTATGGAGAGTAGTGAGCAAAACATAAACACTGGGGTTTATTGTAAGTAAAATATATTTCACTGACTTATTATATTTGTACTAATTTATCATTTCCTTAGGTATTGAGGGTTCTAGACCGGGAGCTGCTGCAGCAGCAGTTTACCTCGCTCATTCTGTGGTTAGAACAAGTAAGAGCGGATATGGAATGATTTTGAAAAACAGCATGCTTAATTCTAAAATATTCTATCTTCATTTGGTATGGTTGGCTTCGTCTAATGATGGCTTTATAGTTACAACTGTAAATAAACCGGATGAAGAGTTATTAAAAAAGATTAAAGAGAGAATCTTTAGGGAGGGAGAGTTTATTGATACTGATGAAATTGCACAGGATTCTGAACTTGTAAAGCTTTTGTCAAATGTAGGAGCTGATCTGAATGTGCTTGCGTATACCTTTAATTTTAGAAATAAAGATGGAACCATAAACGATGATTATGATAGCTTCATAGCATTTAATAAAAAGATAAATGATCGTTTTGACTACTCCCCCGAACAGAATCTAGAAGAATTTGACTTTGTTGTTAGCTCTACATCTTTTGGACCTTCATACGGAACAACTGCTATAAATCTGATGAAACGTTGTGGTATTGATAAATTCCCAGATGATTTTGAAGTACCTTTAGTTCGTTCTGCTATTATGGATATCTTTTCTTCACAATCAATAAAAAACTCAGTATTCACTAAAATAATGAATATATTGAAGAGTGAACTAAATAGATTTTCTAAAGAAATGACTAATTATTAATTACATATTAATAGTTTATGAAAAGAAATAAAAAATTTAAAATTTAAAATTAATATTTAATTTTAAAAAAAATAAAATTTAAAAAAAAAAAAAAAAAAAATAAAGATTTTTTTTTTATTTAAAATTAATCTATTTAATTTCATTTATTAATTAGTATACCAATATATTTATTATTTCTATTTTTAAATCATGAGCTTTTATTGGGTGTTTTAATTTTAAAAGAGCAATAAAAAAAAATTAATGTAAAAAAAAAAACTAAAAATAAAATTCAAAATAAATTTATTTTGTAAATTTATTTGAATTATTATTTAAACAATATTTTTTTTTTTTATAAATAAATTAAAAACATATGTTATAAATATATTTATATTTTTTTCATATTGGTGGGGGGGTAGTTAGATATAAATTTTCAAATTATAAATATATTTATTTTTTAATTTTTTTTTAATTTTTTTTTTTATTATTGAGTGTGGTTTTTTATTTATTTACATATTTTTTCTTTATTAAACTTTATTATATAGATATAAAATTTAATATACAAACTATTACATATATATAATATTTTTATAATCAAACTATATTTAATTAAAGAAAAAAAAAAAAAAAGAAAAAAAAAATCAAATGAAATTTATTGCAATTTTATTAATCGCCCTTTTGGGTTTTGTCTCGACAACATCGGCCTCACAAGCAGAGTGTGATTTTTGCGATGTTGTAGTAAATTATGTTGAAGGTAATAATATATTATTTAATTTAAAATGGTTTATTATATAATTATTAACTCTATTTTTTTTAATATAGGATTTGTTTTAAAGAATAAAACACAATCAGAAATTGAAACCGAACTTGAAAAAGTTTGCAACCTTGTATCACCAAACTTAAAATCAACATGTGATAATATCGTTATGGGTAATTACTGTCAATATTTTAATTAAAGTAATAATTAACTTTTATTAATTTTTAATAATTTTCTATTTCTATAGCTTACACTGAAACAATTATTAAATTAATTATTATGAAAGAAAACCCAAGTACAATTTGCCAACAAATCAAAATATGCCCACAAACTCCACAACCAAGTCTCTATGAACAAATGGCATCATTTAATCAAGATAAATTAAAAGAAATCAAGGGTGAAGTTTTAAAAAAAGCATCTCCACTCTTAGGTAGAACTAGAGAAAGCTCTGATATTTGCTCCATTTGTAAAATCGTTACCGGTGATGTCATCGTCATGGTTAAACAAAACAAAACAGAAAGTGAAATTATTTCAGATTTGGATAATGTTTGTAAAGAGTTTAAAGTATTTGCTAATCAATGTACTCAAATGGTAGAACAATATGTACCAGCCATCATTGGTATGATTGAAAGTGAAGATCCACAAGAGATTTGCCAACAAATCAAATTATGTCCCCCATCAAACAGCAATCACAACAACAATAACAACAATCACAACTTTTACAACCGTCCAATTAACAAAGGAAGACTTTCAATTACAAAGAATTTTTAATTTTTTTTTTTTCCCAATCTTAAAACAACAAAAAAATATATAAAATAAAAAAAAAAAAAAAAAGATAATCTAAATATAACTAAATAAACAATAAAAGTTTTTATAAAAAGAGTTTTGTTTTTCTTTTTTAATTTTCTGATTTATTTAAAATAGTTTAAAATATTTAAAATGGTTTTAAGAAATCGTGGTTTAAAGCATCTTGAGGAGTGATACGCTTTTCGGGATCTAAAACTGTACATTTTTCAATTAAGTCTTTTAATTGATTTATCTTCTTCATATCTTGGTCGGGGACTTGAACACCTTTGGGAAGTAAAAAGTGTAGTATATCTTTAGTTGGTTTGGTTACGTCATAAGGTACTTTTCTCATTGTCTTTTCTATACTATCAACCTCTTGCTTCATGAATACCAAATTGTCATTGAAATGATTTGAAACAAACTGTGATCTCTTTAACATTTTCTTTGGGAATGGACCTTTGTATTCTAAAAACAATCTAATCATATCATTATTTGTTTTACCAGGGAATAAAAATCTACCTGTAAATAATTCTGCTAAACAACATCCAACACTCCAAACATCGATTGCATAATCATATTTAAGACCTAAAACTATTATTAAAAAAAAAAAAAGAAAAAAAAATTAATATTATTTATAATAAAACATTAAATGTAAAATAATTAATCAACTTACTAATTTCTGGAGCTCTATAAAATCTACTAACTAAATAAGGAGTGATTTCAGATTCGTGGGTTTCTCCAGCTGATCCAAAATCAATTATTTTGATTGTATTCTTTGCTTCATTTACTACAATGTTATCTGGTTTGATATCTGAATGTAATATTTTAGAGTTCTTTATATGCTTTAAAGCAATAAATAATTGTTTTGCGTAAACTCTAACTGCACTTAAACTAAGACCAACATTCTTGCCAAACTTCTTTATTAATTGATGTAAACTCATACTAATATTTAAAAAAAGAAAAAAAAACATTAGTATATTATAAATTCAAATATATATATTAATATATGATATACATACCTCATTGCTTCAAAAACTATACAGAGATGATTTCTATATGAGAAATGATCTTTCATTTGTACACAATGGGTTTTTTGATTTGCTGAGGTATTGTTATTGATCTTTTGAAGGATTTCAATTTCTTTTTGGCCTGCTCTATTCATTGATGGACGATTTCTAATGATTTTAATAACAACATCTTCGTTAGTTTTAGTATTTTTAGCGGAAACTACAGTACTAAAAACACCAGATCCAAGTGGTTCAAATATTTGATATTTATCCATAATTTCACCAACTTTAAATTTGTAATAACCGTCTGCATCGTCCCAATTCTCTGACAAGTTAATAGATGGATTAACAATAACATTGGTATCAACAATATTTGTATCTTGAAGAGCTTCTGATGTTTCATCTGATGGTGAGTCACTAAACATATCTAAAACTGGTGCTGATTTTTTTGGTGGAGGTGGTGCCTCATTCTTTATTGCTGCTGTAGCTGGTTTGATTTCTGGTTTGCTTTTTACTTTGAGATCCTCTTTATCAATTTTACCTCTCTTTTTTAAATCTTCTTCTGATGAGCATGAATCCATTTCACCGTCATTTGATACCTCAGTATCTCTTTGATTACTTTCTTTTCTCCATTCAATAACACTATTTTCATCTTCCTCTTCTTCTTTCTGTTCTTTATTATTGTTTTTTTCGATTGATGATTGTTGTGTTGGTGGTTGTTGTACTGGTTGTTGTACTGGTTGTTGTACTGGTTGGGGTGACGATTGTGTTGGTTGGGATTGTTGATATTTTTCCATGATTTTTTGTCTTTTTAATCTATTTTCTTCTAAAATTCTCTTAGCCTTTGCCTCCTCATCCTCTTCCTCAATAATTACCGGCTCTATAATTGGGATTGATTTAATACTTTCATCAGGCGATTTGATATCTTGAGATATTCCATTTCTTCCTTTTTCTTTTTCCTTGATTCTTTCTTTTTCTCTTTCTCTTTCTTTTTCTCTTTCCCTTTCTCTTTCTCTTTCTCTATCTCTATCACGATCACGGTTAGCTTTATAGTCTCTATCATATCTATCTCGGTCTCTGCCATCATATCTATCTCTATCTCTGTGGCTATCAACTCTATAATCCCTATCTCGGTCTCTGCTATCGTGATATCTTTCTCGGTCTCTGCTATCATGTGATCTGTCTCTATCTCTGTCTCTATCCCTATCTCTATCTCTATCTCTATCTCTGCTATCATATGATTTATCCCTTGAATCCCTTTCATAACTTCTTCTTGATGATGATTTACTATCCTCATTTACTGAACCACTAAGAAATGCTGTAATACTATTAGTTTGAGGCTTTCCTATATATTTTCCTCCATTTCTAGATGAAGAATTATTATTAGATGATGATTTAGATTGTGTCGATGATAAATTTGTTGTAGAAGGTGGTAAATTATTATCCTCAACCTCGCCTTCCTCTTTACCTATTCCTGGTGAATCTTGTTTTAACTTTTTTGGTGATACCGATGGAGTAATTTCTAAACTTCTTTTCTTTTCATTTTTTCTATAAAAAACAAATAAATGAATTAGTAATTTGTTTTTAAAAATAAATAGTTTTAGTTTTTATACATACTCAATTTCAGTGTCTATGTATACCATGGTTTTATATTTGAAATTAAAAATAAAATAAAAAAAGAAAAAAAAAAAAAATAAGGATTAGTACTTGATATTTAAATTGTATTATATATTTTCTTTTAAAAATATAAACAATTATAATTATTTAGTTAATGCAAGTATTAATTTGAAATAAAAACTATAATATGTACTACTATACTATTATTATTACTACTATAATTAATTAAAATAAAAATAAAAAAAACCAATTAATGAAAATTTATAAAAAGACAAAACAAAAAAAAAAAAAAAAAAAAAAAAAGGGAAAAATTTAAAAAAAAAAAAAAAAATTTAAAAAAAAAAAAAAATTTTTAAAAAAATAATTTTATTTTAATTACCCCCTTTAAAAAATTTTTAAATTAAATCTTTACAAATGGACTAAAAAACAATAAAATCTAGAAAACTATCAGTCCAACAAATTAAATAATCAATAAATTATTATTTATAAATAAAAAGATATCTATTAATATTCCATTTGTTTTTTTTTTTCTTTATTCATTTATTTATTTATATATAAATAGCTAAATAAAAATTATTATTAGCTATTTTTTTTATGCTTTTCATTTATTTATATATAAATAGCTAAATAAAAATTATTATTATAATTAATTTGACCAGAAATAAACGATATTATTATAACTTTTTTTGTAAAAAAAAAAATGAAAATTTAATAAATATTTATTTTTTTTTTTTTTAAATTTTTTTTTTTAAAAATTTTTTTTTTAATTTATTTTTTTTATTTTGTTTTTTTTTTTTTTAAGTAATTATTTTTATATCTATTTTTTGTACAATATTTAATGCTTAATACTAAAAGCTACCTTGTTAAACAATAATAAAGCAATAATTAACAGTAATAAAATAATAAAAAGAATAACAACAGAAATGCAATATAATAATAGCAATATCCAAGACGATGTTATGTTAAGTCATAATATTGACAGTTGGAAATCTTATACATATATATACGATGTTGCCATTGATTATTTATTAAAACTACATGCACCAACTATTCAAGATTTCCAAAAGGTATTATCAAGCGAAGTTGCATCCGAACAGGTTATTCGTTCAGCATTCTATTCAGCATTCTATACAAAACAAAATATAATAAATAAAAATAATTTTAGAACCAATAATAATAATAATAATAATAATAATAGACACCACAATAAAAATATTGAAATTATTGACGAAAATAATGATACACAAGAGATTATAGAAGAAATATATGTAAATCAATCATGGTTGGATTATTTCTCAAGTAGAATTCAATATAAAAGTTCAAACAATATAATATTTAAAGTTAAAAGATTTAAAAAGAGCGCATTAGAAGAAGTGTTTGGACTTCCAACAAGCAATGGTAGCAAGCATAAAAATGAACAATATTTATCAAATAATTTATTTAAAAAGATCAAGACCGAAAATGACCCAAATCTTTATTTTAAGCCACAAGACACCTCGCCAATTAAAAATAATAATGGATTTAATGACGACGACAACTATTTAAGAGTAGAGGAAGATAGCGATGATTCAGTGCTCAAGTATAAATATGAAAAAGATTTTATTTTAGTTAAAGATGGTAAACCATTAATCATCACACTCTCACCTGATTGGGGCATGCCCTTTCATATTAAAAGCGAAGTGCAACAAGTCGATACAAATATACCCTTCCCACAATCACCAAATAATAAGAATGGAAATAATAAAAATAATAATAATAATAATAATAAAAACAATAAAAACAATAACAATCCAAATAGAAACAATAGAGGAAATGGAAAAAACAAAGATGATGATGAATCATGGTGCGGTTTAATGTAAAACTATAAATAAATTAATATATATATTTCAATATACTTTTTTTCTTTTTTTTTTTTTTTAGAATTTAAAAAAAAATTTATTATATTTTAAATTATTCCTTCTTTGAAAAGAATGATGTAATATTTGTTTGTTTTTGATCAGGCTCGGCGGCTGGTTTCTTCTTTGATTTAGAGGCTGTTGGTTTTTTTACTTTTTCTTCAGAGGCTTCTTTTTGTTTTTTATTTGATGATGGAGCCTGTTTGATAACTGGAGCTGCAACTTCAGATTTAGCAGGTGACTTGGCTTTGGATGGCGATTTAGTTATTTTCTTTTTTGGTTCCTCTTCTTCAGATTTATCCTCTTCTTGCTCTTCCTCTTCTTGCTCTTCCTCTTCTTCAGATTTGACTGCTTTAGTTTTCTTTGATGATTTAGATGGTGATTTTGCTTTAGATGGGGATTTGGATTTTGATGGTGATTTTGAAATATTTTTTGATTTTTTTGGTTTTTCCTCTTCCTCTTCTTCTTCCTCATCATTATCTTGTTCATTCATTTCCTCATCAACCTCTTCTTTTTTAATGAGTATATTCTTTGATAATTTTTCTTTTTTTTCTTTTTCTTCTTTTTCCTTCTTTTCTTTTTCTTCTTTTTCTTTTTTCAATTTCTCTTCTTTTTCTTTTTTTTCTTTTTTTTCTTTGTCCTCTTTTTCCTTTTTCAACTTTTCCTCTTTCAACTTTTCCTCCTTTTCCTTCTTTTCCCTCTTTTCTTTTTCCTCTTTATCTTTCTTCAATTTCTCTTCTTCAGCCAACTTTTGTTTTTTCTTGGTTTCTTTGTCACTTTCTTCATCTTTTTCCTCATCAGAATCCAATGGTCTCTTCTTTGACACAATTTGAGGTTCTTTATCACTATTACTCATCTCTTCATCAGAATCATCAAGGTTTCTACTATTTCTTAATCCAGATCTTTTGAAGGTTGGTAATCTAAGTTCTTCTTCGCTGTCATTGTCTGATTCATCCTCGCTATCTGATGATTTCTTTTTCTTTTTAGGTACTGGAGTTGGTTTAGCGATTGATGCTGATTTTTTACTTTCTTTTTTAGCTGCTGGTTTCTTTTTGCTTGGTGATAATTCTTTTTTACTATCTTTTTTAGATGGTGTGCTGGTTGTAATTGATGAAATATTTTGAACATCCTCCTTTGCTTTTGCAAATAAATCGACTTTAGATGATACACCTGTAGTGAAAAAACTATTTAATGTTTGTGTAGTTGATGCAGCTGGTTTCTTTGATGGTGTAGCTGTAATATTATTAGTTGTTGTTGTTGTTGTAGTAGTGCTAGAAGTTGCTGCTTGATGTCTAAATGGAATTGGTGCAACTGAAATTGGTAATGATCTTTTTAATGTTCTTTTTTTAAATGATGTTGAACTAATTGGTATTTGTCTTTAAATAAAGAAAATGAAATTTAAATATATAAAAAAAATATAAAATAATTAGTTTCTTTTTGAATTTTTTATTTTATAAAATATTAGTTATGTATATACATACTTATTGAAATAATCTGGTCCTAATTCAACTATATTCTTATATTTATCTTTAAATGCCATATATGAAAGAGTAATTACACTAAGAGGATCTTTTGGTAACGATTTACCTTTAGAAATGCTATATATATGTTCACTATGTAATGATTTGAATTTTGACTTTGAATTATCCAAACTATCATTTGATGCTAATAAATATGTAATTGAATTGTTTTGTTCTTTTAAAACCCCTGATAATAAATAAATTGGTGATAATTCATCTTTATTTTTATTATAAAAATAATTTAAAATTCTATTTAAAATTAAAATGTTAAAACTCTATTTTACTACTATACTAATATTACATATGTTGTTTATGATATTCTATTTACTCTTTTGAAATATTTGGATGTATTTTAAATTGTTCTGATATCCATCTAAAGTTTACTGAAAAACCATCGTCTAATATTATCTTTTTTAACTCATCCAATATTGATACTACTTTTTCTTCTGCTGTCGACATCTTTATCTAAATAATAATATATTAATATACAATAGTGTGTATACTATATTTTAAATTATAATTTGTAAACACAATAAATTTTTAAAAAATAAAATAAAAAAAAATTAATAAAAAATTTGAAAAAAAAAAAAAATTTAAAAAAAAAAAAATTTGGGAGGGATATACAAAGAAATAATTTTAAATAAATTAAATAAATAGATTTATTTATTTTTTTTCTATAAAATTAGATTTTAATTTTTATATTTTTATATTTTTTGTTATTATTTAATGAAAATTTTGAAAAAATAAATAAAAAAATAAAGAAATAAAGAAAAAAAAAAAAGAATTAAAAAAAAAATTATATTTGTTTGTTTTTTTTTTTTTTAAGGTTTTTTGTTTAAAATTTTGGACTATAATTGACTATGATTAACGATGCTTTTCGGCGGTAGGTGGGTTTAGTGGTGCCCAACGTATACATTTTGGATCAATACGGGAGGATTGTTTTGAATAAACTTTGAGATGCTCTTCAATAGCTTTTGGTGTTACAGAAATGATATGTTGACCTTTCCAATATCTAATTAAATTTAATGATTGAAGAGTACTAATAACGTCCTCGGTTCTAATAGATGTCATATTTGATATATCTAAAATTGATAAATTACCTTTATGTTTTCTTAAAATTTCTAATAAAACTTGGGTCCAATAAGATCTAAAACTGAGTAAACCCAAATCTGATAAAGGCTTTTCTGGTGTCCCAACCTTGTTTTCCTTTTTGGATAATTCGTAAGAGAATGAGATAAGAAGTTTTCCAAACCCTTTACGTTGATAGGGTGGTAGTGTTAAAATACAAGCAAGATTGTAACCATCGGGTGAATCTTTTTCTTTTGAAATAGCCAACCATGTGGCAACCTCTTTGATCGCATTCTGTCATAATGTAAAAGAGGAAAGGTTCAACATCATAGTAGAGAGTTTTGTGATCTAAAAACAACTTGGCCAAGAGACAAAGATTTTGACAATAGATTTTATTTTTTTTGCCATCGACTTCAAACATTGAAAGGTTACCACTTCTATAGATTTCATTTCCTGGTGGATGACGAAGATCGCATTTTAATTTGTGTCTATTAAGTGTTTTCTTTTTCTTCATATACTTGAGACAAAATTCGCAAAGGAATAACTTATCACATTTTGCAAACTCTTCTGGGTATGGCGAGAAATACCATGTGTCAATTTCATAACGACCCAACTCTATAACATTAATATTCTTTACTTTGGTGATCTCTTCGTGTTCTTTTTCTATAGCTGACAATTTGTTATCTTCATCGGCACCCTTTTGAATGTGGTTCATCTCTTCATACTTTCTTTTAATTTGACGTGTGACTTTTCTAAATTGACCATCTGATTGAATCTCTGCCAATGGTACATTTGGTTTATTTTCTGACTCTATACGACTGAAATCCATTCTACTCTCGTGTACCCATTCATCCAAACGACGATTGAACTCGTGGTAATGTACATAGTAATCGAATGTGCCTGATTCTGACTCTGCTTCTCTTTTATCAATAATTTCACATTTACGATATTGGTCATCTCTCCAACGGCAATAAATATGTGTACCAATTTCCAAAACTTTTCTATTTGAATTTGGCTCTGTAATGTTTTGCTGTGGTTGTTCATTCTCTTTATTGGAGTGAGTACCATTTGTTGTATTTGATGTGGGTGCTGATTTTTTATTTGCTGTTTTACTTTGTACATTTTCGGTTCTTTGTCTTTTATTTCTTGTTGATATTGGTGCAACCTCTTCCCTCTCTTCTTCATCATCTTCTTCTTCCTCCTCTTCATCTTCTTCATCATCTTCTTTTTCTGTACTTTTACTATTTTCTTCTTCTTTTTCGTCATCATCATCGTCATCTTCAATTTCTTCGACAGCAGCTGATATTGACTCTTCCTCCTCCTCCTCCTCATCTTTGTTATCTTCTTCCTCTTCTTCATTTTCATTTTCTTCTTCTTCTTCTTCTTCCTCTTTATTTTCTATTTGTTCTTCTTCATTTTCTTTATTCTCAATATTATCTTGTTCATTTTCGATGATTTCTTCGGATAGTGCCATTTTTTTTAAAAATTTTTAATTTGAAAATTTTAATTTATTTTTTTATTTTTTAAAATTCATAAAAAAAAAGATTGGTGTGAAGAGAAATAAGTGTGTGAATGAATAAAATTTTAAAAATTATAACTATGTATGTATTTATTTAACTATTTAAATAATTTATTATTGATATTTATTAATTTATTTATTTATCTATTTATTTTTATTTATTTTTATTTATTTAAATTTATTATGTATAAAAAAAAATTTTATGAAAGAAAAAATTGTATGTAAAAAAAAAAAAAAAAAATTAAAATAAAGTGATTATTATAAATTATATATATGTATTAACAAGAAAAAAAATAAAAAAACCAATAAAACTTTATTATATACAATATATACTTTTATTTTATTTATATTATTTTAACAAATGTTTAATATGGTTAATTTTAAATTTATGTGTTCTTTTTTTTTTTTTTTTTTTTATATGGAGGAATTTGAAAAAATTAAAAAAAATTAAAAAAAATTGTGTTTTTAGTTGAATTTTTTTTCTTTTTTTGTTTTGTCTACCTTTGTTTTCCATATATTTTTTTCTTTGTCGGGGTGAAAATAGTAACTAGTTTCCAAAAAAATAATGTTTTTGACCTTTGTTTCTTTTTTATCTAAAACCATTTGTGCACTCGGCATATTTTTTTTTTACCCCCCCCCCCTCTTATGTTTGATGACTCCC